GCGCCCGTACCGGACCGGGACCGGCCAACGGATCGCAACCCTCAGTGTCGCGCCCGTACCGGACCGGGACCGGCAACGGGATCGCAACCCTCGGTGTTGCTCCCGCACCTCGCTCAGCCAGTGAGCGGCCGGTCTGTATGTGGGATCCGAACCCTCGGCGGGAGCGCCTCTGCGCTTCCCAAGCAGCGCACTATAGCAGTGCGCCACTGGGCCGGCCCCAGATTCATAGTTTCTATGCACATTAATGCTCTAACATCTAATAATTTTAAAAAATTTTATTTATACCTTGTGGATGAAGGAGGATAGGGTTGAAATGAAAGCACCTGTTATGATCCCCTGTCAAGAAAGACTTTAAATAAATATATATCTATATTTAATCTTTAAAAAGGGCACCAAATGAGCTTCCTGGCTTTCTTGTCTTGTCTGCCAGAGTTCTCACCCTCTCCTTTCTGACCATTTCTCCTGTCCTTATGTGTTCTGCTCAATTCATCATCCATTATTTTCTTTCTATATGGCCATTGAAATTCACCTCTTATAGAAGGCCTGACTCTGTCCATCACTACTGTGAAATTCTAATAATAAACTCAAAATGTGAATGCCACCTAAATATAATGATACCTATCTTTTCTCCCAGTGGGGGGAAAAATGATGAAATAAAATAGCATGAAAAAAAAGAAACCACTTAAATGATATGAAATATAATTAAGGACCAAGAGGAGAAGGATTTTATTTTATTTTGCTTTGATTAAATTACTAATACCTTGGGATCAATAAATACTAAATCAATGTTGAATGGGTAAAATCACAGTACTAACATTCACCCCAATTTTTTTATGAGAGCTATAAACTGAAAAAAATGCAGATGATAGCCTCACTATGTAGTCTTCAATTTTTGTGTCACCTCCTTGCGTTCAGTGTCATATTCTTGCCCATCTGCCTGGAGTGACACTGCAGTGTAGGAGAAGCAGAGCAGGAAGCAGGAAAAATGTCTGGAGTTGCCATGCCAGTGCTGATAAAGTGTATTTTACAATAAAATATTAGGGGCCAATTGTCTCTTATGGTAGATTTTATCTCTTATTTTTCAGTGTATGCAAATAAAGAGGCACAATTCTGGTTTTTTGTTTTTTCCCCACGTTACACAGAAACACCTAGCATATTTCTAAAAACTCGACTTGGTAGCCTTAGTCCTGCCTGTGTTAAAAGAATGCCAG